AGCTTTCTGTAGCAGCCAAGAGCATCATATATAGCAGCCAACAGATAAGTAGCTTCTCTGTGTGTTATTTTAGTTTAATCTAAAGCTCCGGCCACATGTTTTTAATGTGTAAGTATTTGCTAGGTTTTAATGACAATGGTCGCTCTTTGCAACGTTGCAACGTTTCTTTCAATCTCTTACAAGCAACTGGCTCTTCCTCACTCATTGCATAATTTTCATTTGTCTCAGTGCTGCTCAACAATAATAGAATCTTACTGGTTAGAATTTCAATATTTTTTTTGATTTTATATGAGAAGCTTCCTCTTTTTCCTCCTACTTTTAATTTCACTTTCTGCTTCATAATTTTATTTACTCCTACCATGTAACCTTTTCTTCCATTGTCTTTATTATTGTATTATATGAATCAAATAATCATTCCCTACACATCTACCCATTTAATATTGTTGCTCCTGGTGACATCATCATATAATATTGATGAATATTATTGATGAATGATGCAATAGCTCATAGTAAACAAAACATACTAAGTAAATAATCAAAATTGATGCAATAGATATATTAAACTAAACAACTATAATGACCTTTTTTTTTTTTTTTTTTTTTTTTTTAACGTCTTCACTTCCAACTAGGCTGCAAGCAACCACTATAAGAGTTGGAAGTTACTGGAAGAGAAAAGACTAAATCTGTAGAGCAAGATAACGATTGACTGATGACTTAAAAGATTGCAAATTATATGAATCAGGAAAGCAAGATGAAGGAAGCGAATTCCAAAGAACTGATGATCGAGGAAAAAAACTAGAAGAATAAGAGTTTTTGAAGCACTTAGGAACAGTCACAGAAAAAGGATGAGACTTAATTGAATGGCGAGTAACACGAGAATGAATTTTAGTAGATGGCACAAGGGACGCTAGCTCTTTAGAGCAGTGCCCATTATAGTATTTGTAGAAAAGAGAAAGAGAAGCAACATTACGACAATGTGACAAAGGTTGGAGATTGGCTGCCAGAGCAGGTCCAACTATGTTTACAATTCGTTTTTGCACCTTGTCTAAAAGAGAAAGAGCATCATTAGAAGATCCGCCCCAGATGTGGCAACAGTATTCCATACAGGGACGGATTTGAGATTTATAGAGATAGAGAATAGAATCTGGAGTAAGAAAGTGTCGAGCTCGATAAAGAGATGCAACCTTAGCAGATGCTAATTTTGCAATGGATTTGATATACGGTTTAAAAGAAAGATCAGAAGTAAGAGTTAATCCTAGAAGATGAATGGTAGATGACTCATCTAGTACATTACCATTCATAAATATAGGAAGATCTAAATTATTACGATAACGATTGGCCGAATAAAATTGAGTTTTATCTGAATTAAAGTTCACCAGCCACTGTGAGCCCCATGCTGTAGCAGAAGTGAGATCCTTTTCAAGCTCAGATACCCCCTCCAAGCAATCAGAGAGTGTAGGCTTCTTATCATGACAAGAGTAAATGGTAGTGTCGTCAGCGAATAATGCCACCTTAGATGTGAGAATATCTGGAAGATCGTTAATGTAAATTAAAAAGAGTATAGGGCCAAGGATTGAACCTTGAGGAACACCTGAAGTTACAGGATGTGAAGAAGAGTGTTGTCCATCAAGGATAACTTTTATACTACGATTGGAAAGAAAGGACTCAATAATCTTAAAGACGTTACCAGCTACACCATAAGAAGAAAGCTTATGGAGAAGACCAGCATGCCAAACTTTATCAAAAGCTTTAGAAATGTCAAGTGCGATAGCCTTAACCTCTCCACCTCTATCTAATGCACGGTAAAACCTATCGGTTATTACTGTTAGCACATCAGCTGTAGAACGAGAAGACCGAAATCCATATTGATGATCAGAAAGTAAGTTATTTGATTCAAGATGAGAGATTAAGTGTTTGTTGATTAAAGATTCAAAAACCTTGCTTATGACAGGAAGAAGACTAATGGGACGGTAGTTAGATGAATCAAATCGCTCTCCGGAATTTTTGAAAATAGGGATAACAGATGCTGCTTTCCAGCATGATGGAAAACAAGACTCTGATAAGCACTTGTTAAATAGTTTAGAAAGTATGGATGAAAGCTCCGGAGAACACCTCTGCAAGACTACAACAGGAATGTTGTCAGGACCACAAGCTGTTGAAGAGTCTAAGCAGGAAATTACTTTAGATACAGAAGCTGAAGTGATGCGAATGTCAAGCAAGGGATCAACCTGTTTGACGGCTATATCAGGTAAAACGCAACTAGTGGAATCAAGAGATGATATTGATGAAAAGTTCTTAGCAAACAATTCAGCTTTGTCTTTAGGTGAGGTGACAAAGTCTGAACCATACAAGAGAGAAGGAATAACAGATTTGCCCTTATTATTGATACTGTTAAAGATTCTCCAGAAGTCTCGAGAGCCTAATTTTTGTGATGAGATACGAGATTTAATGACCTGGGAATAGCGAGCTTTGGCGTCAGACAAAACCTTTTTACAATAGTTTCTGGCGATAGTGAACAGATGTCTGTTTTCTGGAGAATTGTTTTGCTGATAGATATGGAAGTAACGGTTTCGATTAGAAATTGCTGCAGCGCAATGTGAGGAAAACCAAGGAGAAGAGTGAGGCTTGACCTGGAATCGTCGAGAGGGAATAAAAGATTCCATGCCAGCCTGAATCCACAAAGTTATGTAAGAAGCACATTTGTCAGCAGGAAGACGAAAGATTTCTACCCAAGGGCCATCACGAAGAAAATCACGGAAAGAGTCCCAGTCAGCTTTAAGGTAGTTGTATGTGGTACGATGATAGGGGGATTCTGATGAAGTAGAAGAACTTGATAATAGTTTTAGAGAGATCAAACCGTGATCAGAAGTACCTAAGGGTGAATGTGGAGAAATTGAGCACTGACTAGGATCCAAAACAAGACATAAGTCGAGTAGAGAAGGTAAATGATTAGGGTTGTCTGGAAAACGAGTTGGAAAGTTGACTATTTGAGTTAGAGATTGAGAAAGGCAAAAGTTGAGGGCCTTAACGCCAGCAGAGTCACTGACACTAGAGCCAAGCCAATCGGTGTGATGGGCATTAAAGTCACCAACAACGACGATATTGGCCGATGGATAAAGAGAGAGGGCTTGGTCAATTTGATCAGAAATAACATCAAGAATAGTGCAATCTTGGGATGAAGGAGAGCGATATAGAACAAAGAGAAAGGCGATAGAGTGAAGTTGTGCTAAACGAAAGCACATAAATGAATAGTCTGTAGATTCAAACCTAGTTTCACGACAAATGGGTGAGTTCTTACGAATGTAGATGCCCGGGCCAAGCATGTGATTATTGGAGTCTTTACGAATTAAAGGAAGATAACCATCAACACTAAGATCACAAGATGGGACAGCCGAACTCAAATTAGTCTCACAAAGAGCAAGTAGGTCTGGTGAACTTTGCAAGAGATAAGACTCAACAGAAGAAAAGTTACTTCGAAGACCACGAATATTAGTAAATGATAGGTTTAGAGAACTTGGTGATGACGATGGTTTTTTGTGTTTTTTAGTTTTAGGTACTTTAGTCATTTTAAATTTATAAAGAACTTGACTCAAGTGTAGGTAGTACTCAGTACACTATTTAACAACTAAGCAATAGCCTCATTACTATTAATAAACCCTAAGCCGTAACAAAGGGCTCCAAATGTGGCCTCTGCAATGCACACCAAAAGTACAAACAGGGACACCATCCATGCGCAACATGGCACTGTTAGTACTCTGATATTTTTCGGCTGTTGATGGAATCAGCCTCTCTGAGAGCTACCACAGAGTTCGGGAAACCTGACTACCAGCCGGCCTCAGAACCATAAAACTGAGTTTTAGAGCTGTACCCTCATTAGGAGATAATAGAATGAGTTGCCCAGTCATAAAAATAGAGACACAAGCAATACCCACGCATTGAGTCAAGAAGATCCAGCGTTCAACATCCTAAACTGGAAACAATGTATTAAAAATACATCTGCGCCAGCCTAATAGATGAGGAAGGGGTGCGAGACTGGTCAACAGATAGAATCTGTTTACCCCTTAAGTCTTTGCCTAGGAGGCCTTCTACAAGACAGCAGCTGGATGCATGTAACATCTGCCTAAGATGAGTATTTTTATCGAGACACCATCTCTAGCCTTTACTCAACCAAGAGCCCCAAGGCAGGGTATGTTTTAATTTGGAGTTAACTTCTCCTAGCCTTTGCCTAAAAAAGCGTATCCTACAAGGCAGCAGGACATGGAGCAGGTTGTACTGGGTTACATGTTACCAGTAGCAGGAAAACCTGACCTGACACTTATCACACAAGTCAGTAGTGAATAATAATCAATATGCATGCAGTAATGCAGTAACAGCTGCAATATGCATAGACCTGCAATATGCATGCAGTAATGCAGTAACAGCAGTTCAATTTGAATTTAGCAATTATAAATTATTGAATTTATCATTTTTCACATTGAATGAACCAGTTAACCTATGTAGCAATGCAGTTTTCTGATAGTACTCTTATATCAAACAATATGGTGAATACCTAAATAACTGTCATCCAGTAACTTGAAAGTAAACTAATAACGCAACCCAGCTTCAATACTTTATATATTTGGCACCTTCCAACTAATAATATAATGTTAATTATTTTCCATATAACTATGGACCACCCTATACTCATATATGTAAAAAATGTTTATATATATATATATATATATAAATATTTAATATGAATATATATATATATATATATATATATATATATATATATATATATATATATATATATATATATATATATATATATATATATATATATATATATATATATATATATATATGTATATATATATATATATATATATATATATATACATATATATATATATATATATATATATATATATATATATATATATATATATATATATATATATATATATATATATATATATATATATATTCATATGTAAAAAATTTATATATTTTTTCAGATCAACTAAGAGCAATTTATGATCAGTTTGGTGAAGAGGGTTTGAAGAATGGTATTCCAAATATTGAAGGTATAATTTTCACATTACTTTTTTAAGTTTGAGTTTTATAAATTTTTGCATATAACCTTTACATAACAAAATTCAGTTATATACTGCAAATAATTTTTGCAATATTTTTAATTGTTGATATTCCAATATTGAAGAATGATAACACTCTCACTGAGTCTTCTTGGGTTATCATTCACTTCTGACCTCTCATGGAAACTATATGTACAATCCATTGCAATCTCTACCTCTAAATATCTATGCCTTTAAAAATTAGTCCCTGTATGAAATTGTCATTTTTAGAACTCTCTCTAGTCTTATGTTTTCTTATATCATACAATACACAATTTACAATTCAAATTTTTAAATTTATAATGATCATTCCTGTCAATGTCTTCAATCAGATTTCTTACTTGGGTTTATGATTGTTTATAACAAGCTAGATTATTGAGTCCTTTCTTTCTAATCGTAGTATAAAAGTTGTCCTCGATGGACAACACTCTTCTTCACATCCTGTAACTTCAGGGGTTCCTCAAGGTTCAATCCTTGGCCCTATACTCTTTTTAATTTACATTAACGATCTTCCAGATATTCTCACATCTAAGGTGGCATTATTCGCTGACAACACTACCATTTACTCTTGTCATGATAAGAAGCCTACACTCTCTGATTGCTTGGAGGGGGTATCTGAGCTTGAAAAGGATCTCACTTCTGCTACAGCATGGGGCTCACAGTGGCTGGTGAACTTTAATTCAGATAAAACTCAATTTTATTCGGCCAATCGTTATCGTAATAATTTAGATCTTCCTATATTTATGAATGGTAATGTACTAGATGAGTCATCTACCATTCATCTTCTAGGATTAACTCTTACTTCTGATCTTTCTTTTAAACCGTATATCAAATCCATTGCAAAATTAGCATCTGCTAAGGTTGCATCTCTTTATCGAGCTCGACACTTTCTTACTCCAGATTCTATTCTCTATCTCTATAAATCTCAAATCCGTCCCTGTATGGAATACTGTTGCCACATCTGGGGCGGATCTTCTAATGATGCTCTTTCTCTTTTAGACAAGGTGCAAAAACGAATTGTAAACATAGTTGGACCTGCTCTGGCAGCCAATCTCCAACCTTTGTCACATTGTCGTAATGTTGCTTCTCTTTCTCTTTTCTACAAATACTATAATGGGCACTGCTCTAAAGAGCTAGCGTCCCTTGTGCCATCTACTAAAATTCATTCTCGTGTTACTCGCCATTCAATTAAGTCTCATCCTTTTTCTGTGACTGTTCCTAAGTGCTTCAAAAACTCTTATTCTTCTAGTTTTTTTCCTCGAACATCAGTTCTTTGGAATTCGCTTCCTTCATCTTGCTTTCCTGATTCATATAATTTGCAATCTTTTAAGTCATCAGTCAATCGTTATCTTGCTCTACAGATTTAGTCTTTTCTCTTCCAGTAACTTCCAACTCTTATAGTGGTTGCTTGCAGCCTTGTTGGAAGTGAAGATGTTAAAAAAAAAAAAAAAAAAAAAAAAAAAAAAAGCTGCATAACTATTTACAAAACATTGATTTTGTTATTTATATAAAACTGTAATAAAGAATCACAATCTAAACACTTAAATAGAAGAAATTTTAAACACAACGTCCCTAATTAATAAAGAACACTTGAACACAAACAATATGTTCAAGTTGAAAATATATTAGCAAATTATATTAGCAAAGAAATTTTTTTTTTGCACAAATAACCATTATTTGTAATAAATATATTTTAACTGCCTAATTTTCTACTAATCATTATCAATTCTCTACTAATTATCTGTAAAGAATTTATGTGAAAGTAAATATTTACAATATCATTTTTTATGTCATTTTATTACTTATTTTATTGATATGGTAATCACCATTTTAATACAATATAACAAGCAATAAAAAAAAGACATACTATTGCACAATTTGTTGAAATTAGGCACATTTGTACCAAATTTCAACAAATAGTACAATGCTTGTTTTTTGAAAAATTTTTACTCTAGCTTTTCAAAGAATCATCAGTAGTGCTGTTTGTGTTATTATTGCAAAATTACTTAAAAAAATGGAAACTACACATTGTTATCATAAGCAACTATTGTAATAAAATTGTAATTACAGACAGAATAAAATTGTAATTATAGACAGGAAATATCAGTTAAATGTATCTTGCTTTTGATTGTGCAAATGAATTTCATATGGTAACAAAAAACTGTTATTGTCATGTTCAAGGAAGACAAAAAGTTATACAAAAGGATAAAAAATATTATTGTGGGCACAATGACAGGTATATACGTGGTTGTCTATCAGTTAATAGGTCACTGATGTAAAACACACTTTTTTTTTTTTACAGCATCTTTGACGTATAATTTCTTAATAATGATTTGGAGGATTTTCCTAAAATTTGGAGTTCAAATAGATTTTTGCTTGAGGAATTCAAAAAAACTACTTAGAACTTTATAGTCTCAAGAAATGTCTTGTTTATCCAATTTTTTTCAAAATTATTGTTTTGTAAATTATTGATTTTTGGAACTAAAATGGAGGCTGTCACCCAAAATCGCTGCAAAAAATATTGATTGTATATCATTAATTTATCTTAGGTCTACTGAAAAAAATTAGGTTCATGTATTGCCTCTCTAATATTTGATTGAAGTAAGCACTCAAAAATAATGTCTTTACAGAATTATGAAAAACTTAAATTTTGTAACAATGGAAATAAAATGTTTTTTTAAAACAACTTATTAATTAAAACTGCTATATAGTTTTATTTATTATCAAGTTTAGCACATACTTAGTGTCTTTGGCATACAAAGGGGGCAAGGGGAGGTGCAACTTCTAACCCAACTTCCTCCTCCACCTCAAGTTACTAATACATGTAAATAAATTACAACAACATTATTTTGAATGTTTATATTTTTATTTATTTTGTTATAACCAACTCCTTATATTTTTTAAATCTAAATCAGACTTGTTCAATGTACAATATTGTTGTGGGTGTAAAAGTTATGCATATAACTTCGGAGTTAGGCACCTAGCACTCATCATTTCTCATTAACCAAAAGAAAATTTTAACTGGTTAATGTGGTTACATAAATCTGACTTTGAATCAAGTTCATTTACATCTTCAGCAATTCCTATCCTAAGATTTTTGTTTGAGAAATATATATATTTTTTAAATAAATTACAATTGTAAAAAGTAATCACTGATTTTTGCTCCGGTGATAACTTTAAATTTCATCCTTGACAACAAATTATTTCCAGCAAAATCTCCTAAAGTTAAACATTCATTTTGGTTTATATTTTCTTTACAATTAATCAAGAACATGCTTTGTATTTTTGCTATAAATGAATGCATGGTAAGGTTGTCAATGCTGTCACATAAAAAATCATTAAACTCAACTAGTGACAATGATTGTAACAGTAGTGTCATATGATCAGTACTCTGCCATTGATTGATTGAGTACATCTTCTAGTTCACGGTCAGTAAACTCATGCTCATGCAAAACTCAACTTTTAATGCTTGAATATCAGGGCATAGTTAACATTGGTGCAGCATACATTCTGCTTTTTCAAGAGAACAAACAATTAAACTCATAAAATCTTTATAACTTTTATTCTACCTAATTGCATCAATTATGAACATTGTATTTTGGTGATGATGTATACACATACACTGTGCATACCTGATGCATTAGTTGTAATGCACCACTTAGGTATCAAAGTACAAAACTTTGACAAACTGGATTTGACATTAGGATAATCTTTTTTAAATGCAACATGTAGTTCATCAAGATTGAGATGTAAAAACTTTTTTTGAATATCTTAGTTTTTATTAAACAAAATTTTACTAACAAAATCTTTTTTTTCTGGCATAATTCTTAAAAACTCATCATTTTGATAATAGTTAATTACTAACTGGATTGTTCTGGGGAAGTGTTTCCATTTTTTTTTCTGGCAATGGTAAAATCCCTTGCTCATTTTAAACATGTTTAAAGTTCAAATAAAATACTCAGGCACTTCAAAGTAACTTGATATCTATTTACATGTCCATAATTCTGCTGCAAGTGTTAACATTTGCAATATATTGTGATGGCAGTTACAGAAATTGTCTTTTTAATTTCACACATTAAAATGTCTAGCTCATGATCCTCTTTTAACATATTTTTAGAAATGGTGCTGTTTGTTTCTGCTGTTAAAGAAGCTTCATCAATATCATATGCTAATGAGAGTATTTTTGCAACTCTGTCTATAGTGTTGCCAAACTTTTATTTTGATGCAGGTATTTTGCAGTGTTTTGGAATGCTTTTCAATTTGACTGGCGAAATCCCAAGAAATTCTATGGAGGTATCAAACTTAACTTTTTTCCTTTTGTGAACTAAAATCTTCTTCAGTTTCTACTGCTTTTGTAACAATTTGCTGCAGAATTTCCAGCCTGGCATTACATTATTTTTTTTGTAAAACCTTTGCCAAATCTAGAGAAATCTTTACATTGCCTAAACACATGATAACAGCATAGAATTGCTCATGATAACAGCATAGAGTTGCTTGTGATAACAGCACAGAGTTGCTCATGATAACAGCATAAAATTTTGATTGAACTAAATAAATAAAATAAAGTTTATACCTAAAAATGATTTAACTTTTTGACTTGTTGTGCAAAATGAAAAATAAAACAACCACTACACTAACAATAAACTTATGTTATAAACAATAAAAGTTACAAAACTATTGGATAAAATATTTGATCAAAGTGAAAAAAACTGTTAGCTCTATTTTAAACACTTTTGTTACACAATAAATAATATAAAAATAATTTGTTGTATATAAGCTATGAATTTAGATCACTATGATGTTCAACTATTATTTGTCCGTCTAATATAATAATTCAAAAGTTCGATGTCAGTCTTTGAACTTAAGGCATCACAACTGTTGGCATATTCCACCTCTTAGTGTTGTTTAATGTAACTAAAGATTGAACAGACTCTTTTTTACAGTGTGGCAATAAAAGGATGGCTCCATTCAATTAAAGGATGGCTCCATTCAATCAAAGGATGGATCCATTCAAAGTAGTATCTGAAATAGTAAAAAAAAATTAATAAATTACAAAGCAACAGAAAAAGTTAATTAGATTTGATTTAATTAGACTTATTTTCAATAGTGGATTTTTTCTCTAATAAAGAAGACTAATAATATTTTTTTTAGAATATCAACTGTCTCCACTATTGGAGAAAAAAAAAAAATCAACTGTCTCCACTATTGGAGAAAAAACAAAAAAACAACAGTCTCCAATATTAGAGAAAAAAAATTAGTAGTTAAGGGAGGAGAGAAACTGATATTTTTAAAATATCATCCTCTCTCATCCCTTAACTCTAAAAATTAACAAAATTTTTTGTAATGCACAAAACTCATTACCTCTTTTAGCGTTATCATCAATTTTACACTCAATTTTAGCAAAAATTTCTGAAATAAAATCATCTTTACTTTATGGCTTAAGCTAATTAAAATAGTTAAAATCTAAGCAGAGTAGACTATGGATATTTAATGTTTAGATCAGCTAGACCATGGATATTTAATTTTTAGATAAGCAGAAGGCAACCATCAAAATCTTTTGCTCTCATAAACCAAGTACATTGCTGACGATCAATCAACATATTCATATAGGGACAAAGTTTTCTGTATTCAATTATCATACCCTGATGATGTTTGGCAACAGTTGTATTATCTTCACCAATAGGCAGAGAATGTGGCTTTAAAAAAAATGTTTAAAATTTTTTTCTTAAAAAGTATTTATTCTTATTTTTTATTTTTTTTCTCAAAAAAACTAAACTTTATTTTTACCAAGTTTCTATATCCTACTGCATGCTTGGCCATTTTCAAGACAACTATCTGTTCGCTTGTATCCTTTTTCCATATTCCTAAATATTTTTTTTTGTATATCAACAGTTTTAACATTAGTAAATAGGGTTCTTTCTTCCTTGAACTTATTCTTCAGGCATTTCCAATAATGTACGCTGATTTTAATACAGATTAGATAAACATATATATTTATAATACATATACATTTACAAATATCAAAATTAAAACAATTTAATATATATATATATATATATATATATATATATATATATATATATATATATATATATATATATATATATATATATATATATATACAGCGACGTATCCAGGTCGATTTTGATACCGGTATACCGGTATGGGCCCCCAAATTTTAGCCCAAACTCAATTTAAAACAGTTTTATATTAGCATTTGTTACAATTACATAAATATCAACATTTGAAAAACGACTTTTAAAGTACATTATAAGTGTATTTTAAAAGTCGCATTTAAAATACATTATAAATGTATTTTAAAAGTAAAACGTATTTTAAAACTTAAAATACATTATAAATGTATTTTAAGCCAACCAAAATGCTTAATTCGAATTCACGTTGATGAAATATAGAATAAGTTGTAATTGGATTAAATGTTAAACGCACGTTTTGATTGGATTAAAATATGTTGCTTAGCATTTTTAAATAACATTTTTAAAATACGTTAATATGAGTTTCTACTCCGCTTACGTTTTCATAACATAATTTTCGAAGCGATTAAACTAGATGAGTTTTAAACTTTTTCATTTCAAACAACAGTAAAAATTGTTTGTAAAATACTTTAAATAATAAAACGAATGAAAGTTTTTAAAACATAAAATTAAAATAACATTTATTTAAATAATTAAAATAACATTTTAATATTCGCGCCAAAAAACTTTATTTGAATAGTATAAACTTTATTGGAAAAGTAGCGTTAGCGAATCATTATATATACGAATAAAAAAAAAAAAAAATAAAAAAAAAAAAAAAAAAAAAAAGGTCCTCTAACATAGACAGGATTTTTAGACTGGTATGCCCAAATTATTCCTGGATACGTCACTGATATATATATATATATATATATATGTTTATTTATTTATTTATATATAAACAAAAAACGAAATGACGCCTTACAAAAATTAAGTTTTTGAAGATCCATTAGCTCTAACAATCAATCCAAAGAACCTTATAGGTTCTTTCAACTTTCTTGAAAAAAGTAGTGTGTTCCATAAAGAACCATTCAGTTTTACGAAGAATCCACAGGTTCTTTAAGTCCACTCTAAGAACCTTATGGTTCTTTAAAGAACCTCTGCAGAACTTTCAAGAACTTTTTTGCAGTTTAATATCCATTCTCCTATACTTGTTATTAAATAGCACTAAATTGAAGTTCAAATAAAAAATCTCCTTCATTACAAAATTAAGTTTTTCAAAATTCTGAAAAGATGTTATTTTTGAGTGCTTACTTTGATCAAATATTAAAGAGACAATACATGAATTTTTTTCAGTAGACAGATAATTAATGATATACAATCAATATTTTTGCTAACGATTTTAGGTGACAGTCTCCATTTTAGTTCCAAAAATCAATAATTTATTGTAATCCATTTATTTAACTATAAAATTAACTATAATATTTTATAAACTCACATAAGTTAGGTTAGGTGTCACTCATATAGTTAAAAACTAGTAAATGGAGTGACAAAAAAATAAATAAATAAATCCAAAAAAAAACTATAAATAAAATATAGAAAAAATTTAAAATAAAATGAAGAGGAAAAAAAAAAAGAGGAAATATAATAAAATAAAGCACTAATAAATAAAGATAATATTATTAATGGTAATAATAATATAATAAAAATAATGATAATAATATGAATAAAAAAAGCATTACAAATTAATGTTAGTAATTTTTAGTAAAGTTATCGTGTTATAATTATAACACGATAACTTTACTAAAAGTTATAACTAATGATGAAAACTTTGATAAAAATAATTATAGTAAAGTTTATAACTGACAGAAATTATTAAAGTAAACATAACATTAGCAAAAATTAGGACAATAATCATAAAACTATTATTACAATGGAATCACTATCATTATAAATAATATTAAGATTTTTAAAACAGATAAATTAACGATAATAGTAATATTAGTAGTAGACTTAAAAAAGACATAAAAGTATAATATAAAAGTAATAATAGTTTTATAAATTTTTATAAAAGTATTATAAAATGTAAGTAATATAAAAAAAGCAATAATAATAAAAGATAAAATTAATATTCATTAAACATATATTCAAATAAAAATTTTTTAATTTGGTTTCGATCGAGAAGAAGAATGTTGGTAATAAAAGAGTATTTAGTTAAAATCTTTTTTTTATAAATGGTATTATTTGGTTCCAGTGAGAGATACATTGATGCTTTAAAAAGAGCTTGCGATATTAGATAGTGTTGAAAAAGGAAGTTTGGAAGTTAAAGTTTTCAGTATTTTGAGAGTATTTGTGTGTGTCACTTGTTTTAATAAAAAAATTATTAGACAAATTTGGTAGTTTATTTTGAAGAAAATCAAACACAAAGAAAAAATTATAAAGCTTTACAAGATCTTCAAATTTTAGAATTTTTAATTCCGAAAACCTATTTTGGATATTAGATTGTATAGGAAAAAATGTTATAATTCTTATGGAAGTGCGTTGTAAAATGTTTATACGACAAAACAGAAAACTACCTTTTTACCCCAAACAGTGCAACAATAATTTAGATGTGAGGAGAACTTAGATGAAGGAATAGTAAATTGATATTAGAATTGTATGAAATACGATATATTTGAAGTAAATTGATATTAGAAATGTCGTATTAATGACAACATACTATTGGCAGGCAAGAGTTTTTTTATTTAATTGAGTTAGTTGATAGTATCATGATAGGTTTTTGTCAAGAAATAGCTTGAGGTATTTTATATATTTAGATGGGAAAAATCTTTTACAGTTAATTCTAATTTTCACATTATTACTATTAATCTTTTTTTTGGAGGGTTAAAAGTAATAAATTCACTTTTATTGATATTTAGTGAAAGACTGTTACTATTTAACCAATGACACAAATGATGGAGATCACAAAAGGTGAAGGTCTGAATTAACTTTTTTTACAAAGCTGCGCAAGTGATTTATTTATGCATAGAAGATTAGTGTTGACAGCAAAATGATAAACAATCGAATTATCTATAGAGTGTGGCAGATTGTTAATATATATATTAAAAACAGTAAGGGCCTAAGAACAGAACCCTGTGGGACACCATACTTAATAACCTTACTTGTTGATTGAAACCCATTAATTGAGACAAACTGAGCCCAATTTTTAATATAGGATAAAAACTAATCATTAGCAATACCCCGTACACCATAGTGATACAATTTTTCCATTAAAATCTTATGGTCAACTGTATCAAATGCTTTTTGGAGACCAATAAAGACGCCACAAGCAAAAGAACCAATATAAATTGCACCACGAATCATTTCAGTAATGCTAATGCTAAAGTGCATGGGAAGTAGAGTGTTTAAAACTAAATCTAAACTGGCGGCCGTAGAGACACTTAGAATTATCAAGAAAGTGATAGATATGAGAATACATTAATTTTTCAAGAATTTTGCTGATATTTGATAATAATGATATTGGTAATAATGATAATGTATTATTTTGTAATGTATAACAATTATAATGTATGATATTGATAATAATGATAAATTAGTAATAATGATAATGGTAATAATTGGTAATAATGATAATGGTAATAATTGGTAATGATATTTGATAATAATGATATTGGTAATAATGATAATGTATTATTTTGTAATGTATAACAATTATAATGTATGATATTGGTAATAATGATAAATTGGTAATAATTATATTGGTAATAATGATAATATTGGTATTAATGATAATATTGGTAATAATAATAATGGTAATAATTGGTAATGATATTTGATAATAATGATATTGGTAATAATGATATTGATAATAATGATATTGGTCTGTAGTTATCGCAGTCAAGTTTTGAGTCCTTTTTATGGATTAGTTTAACAGATGCAGTTTTTAAAATATTAGGGAATATACCAGTAGTGAATGAGAGATTTAGAAAGTACTGAAGAAATATCATTAGCAAGAAGTTTATGTCAATAATTTTGAAAAAAGTTGGATAAATGAGGCATTTCATGAGACTATCAAGTCCTAAGGGTAGTTTTTTTAATTCCTCGAGCAAAAATATATTTGGGTTCCAAATTTTAGGAAAATCCTCTGAACCATTATCTAGATATTACATGTCAAAGTTGCTTTGTTGTCTCTTTACATAACCACAAAAAAGCTGAATCAACATTATTTCAACTTAACAACCCATGGATATTTTTAGCTAAAATTTTTGCAGTTTTTTAATTAACTGCAAATGATGTAAAAATAAAGCAACTCTTAGATGTAAGAGTGACATAGTCTGGATGATTTCATATGGAATGACAATAACTTTAAGAAACCTGTAACTTAATGTAAATCTTAGTTTTTTACCATAGATCCAATGATGTGATCCAATCTTATAAATCTTATTTCTAAATTGTTTCAATCTGATGATAATGCAATCATTTGTTCCTGTTTAGTAAAAAGGTTTAAAAGTTATTCTGGTCAATCATAAATCTCTATATTCTTTTGTTTATCTATCCATAAACATGACTTATGCTTCACTTCATTTTTTCTTAGATTATTTTTTTCCAAATTAAGCTCAATCTGCTTTTCTCTATTGTGCTTTTTATTATCCTAAATCTATTATATAACCCTTTATTGTTTACAGCAGCCATATGGTTACTATCAATTTCTAGAGTATTAATTTTGTTGATAATGTATTATACAAAATACCATTATTTTTTTCTCAAAGTATCAGCCTAATATAAAAATAAAAACTCTTCAAATTAAGGTTTCAACATGATTTTTTTAAATACAGACTTATTTAATTACTAAGGGTTTTTTGACTTGTTTTAGTACTATATTGCTAGTTGTGAGTTAATAAAGTTTTAATAATACTGCTAGTTGGGTAATATTCAATTTTGTATTTTAAAAGGTTATAAAATTTGTGTAAAAAGTTTTGAAAATTAATTCATAAATTTGTGTAAAAAGTAGTTTTTGAAAATTCATAAAGTTGCTGTTCTGCTTTAATAATCTTGTTGGTAGCCATGGCTATTCTGACCAGAACTGGAACAAATTATATATATATATATATATATATATATATATATATATATATATATATATATATATATATATATATATATATACATATATATATATATATATATATATATATATATATATATATATATATATATATATATATATATATATATATACACTACCCCAAAGTAGGTTTAACAACCTTTTTTATTTTAATCATTTTTTCATTAAATTTCTTCAAAATTATATATATGAAAAATTATTGGAAGGGGGGGGGGGCAAATGTACCTGGTTGCTACAGGCCTGATATATATATATATATATATATGTATATATATATATATATATATATATATATATATATATATATATATATATATATATATATATATATATATATATATATATATATATGTATATACATATATATACTCTTTTCTACAAATACTATAATGGGCACTGCTCGAAAGAGCTAGCGTCTCTTGTGCCATTTACTAAAATTCATTCTCGTGTTACTCGTCATTCAATTAAATCTTATCCTTTTTCTGTTACTGTTCCTAAGTGCTCCAAAAACTCTTATTCGTCTAGTTTTTTTCCTCGAACATCAGTTCTTTGGAATTCGCTTCCTTCATCTTGCTTTCCTGATTCATATAATTTGCAATCTTTAAAGTCGTCTGTCAATTGTTATCTTGCTCTACAATCTTCATCTTTTCTCTTCCAGTAACTTCCAACACTAATTAGTGGTTGCTTGCAGCCTTGTTGGAAGTGAAGATAATTAAAAAAAAAAAAATATATATATATATATATATATATATATATTTATGAATATATATGTTTATATTTATATATATACAAATATATATACCTATATGCAGAGTCGTGTTGAAGAGATCTTCCATGGAGAGGTGGGGGTGTTGTATGTATTTTTGCCAACTGTAGACACAAAAAAAAAATGTATACATGTTTCATATATATACTTATGCATGAGTTTTCATTGAGTATTAAACATATACAGTTATATTTTTTTAATAACTCTATTTAGTTTCATCAATAAAATTCATTAAAAATCTTTTTCTTAGTTGTTCGAAGTATCCATATGGCTACCATCATTTATTCAAAAACTGCTTATGTCAGCAAAAACCAAATTGCAAAAAATGATTTAGCAAGTTAAAATAATAATTTGTACCAAAAGAAATAATTTTTACTCAAAGTAAATATAATGTGAACCACAAAGGGATAAAAAACTTTGCACTTACATGCAACACTTTTAAGTAACCATTTGTAAAAGGGTTATTTAAATGTGTTCTTATAAATAAATAAAATTTTATAACACTTTTTTGCATAAGATTGTATTAGCACAATATTGATAGGTAGATAGGTATGCAAAATAAACAATTCTATTGAAAGGTAGTTTTTATTGACAGGTGGCTTTACAAAAGGTTATGTGTTTCATGGAGATGCTGAAAAAGTGTTTAAAGAATTTTTTGGTGGAGAAAATCCATTCCTAGGTAAACTTATTATTGTTAAGCTATATAATATTTAAGTTTGTATTTTTGATTATTTTGTATGTCGATATTATTATTTTTAATAGTAGTAGCCAAATGCTTTAACTAAAGAAAAATATAGTAACAATTTGTTATCTATATATAGATAACAAAGTGTGTGTGTGTTTTTGTGTGTGTATGTATATATATATATATATATATATATATATATATATATATATATTATATATATATATATATACATATATATATATGCACACACAAGCACACATATATAAAAGTACTCTTTTTGTAGAATACACACATATTTGACATGTGTGTATATATATGTATATATATACATACTATATATATACATACATATATATATATATATATATATATATATATATATATATATATATATATATATATATATATATATATATATATATATATATATATATCCTTATAGTGTAGTTGAAAGAGTCTTTTAATGTAAAAAAAGTCTCTTTCGACTACAATTTTAATTACCTCGTCTTTTAAGCTGTGTTTGATTGTCGTTAAAATGTCAAAGCAATTAAATTAATGCGGAAGTACATTAAATTTTATTGTTTTTTAAAAACCGCAATAATAACGACTAGAAAGTTTTTTTTAATTAGTGGTGTTTTTGTTTTTGTTTTATTAAAAAACATTTTTAAAACATGCGTAAATGTTGCTACATCGACTATCTTATAGCCTGCTGCTACAAGGGAGTGTTTCTACATCGACTATCTTATAGCCTGACTCGCAACAGAGTGCTGCTACATCGACTGACAAATAGCCTGACTCTCAAGGGAGTGCTGCTACATCGACTGACAAATAGCCTGACTCGCAAGGGAGTGCTGCTAGAATGACTGACAAATAGCCTGACTCGCAATGGAGTGCTGCTACATCGACTGAGGGTTTGGTTTGGGCAGGCAGTCTATCATTTGAAAAAAAAATAATTTAATTTTTTAAACTTTTTCTGGTCTGGTTTATTAACGCGCTCTTTAAAAATACAGTTTTTGGGAAACTCTTTCTGACTACCATGCAAGAGTATATATATGTATATATATATATATATATATATATATATATATATATATATATATTTTATATATATATATATATATATATATATATATATATATATATATATATATATATATATATATATATATATATATATATATATATATATATATATATATATATATATATATATATATATATATATATATATATATATACTGGTTTAACCCCCCATAGTGTAAAAATGTTTCTACCAAAATTGGTAAACTCTTTTGGAGTTTAATAGACAAACACTTCCAAGCTGGCCATAAATACCACAAGATTTTTAATAGAAATACTCTAAAGTTGAGTTACAGTTGTATGCCAAACATCAAATCAATAGTTAACTCTCATAACCATCATATAATGAAAAACAACACCTCTGATTCCAATAAACATTGCAATTGTATTATCAAAAGCCCTCCAAATCAAAAATGCCTTGTAAATAACATAGTGTATCAAGTCACTTTATACCCAGGCACTCTGGACAGAAATGAAAAAGTGTATTTTGGAGTGAGTGAAACCACATTCAAACTTAGATACGCTAACCATACAAAATATTTTAATATCAAAAAGTATAAAAACGATACTGAATTATCTAAGGAAGTATGGAGGTTAAAAGAAAGTGAAGTAAGGTCAACAATTAAATGAAAAATTTAAAAATGCTGTAAATCTTACAATCCCACAGTAAAACATTGCAACCTTTATTTATTTGAAAAGTCTCATAATCTCATAATATCTTACAATATCTTACACAGATGATAATTTATTAAATAAGAGGAATGAGCAAGTTTTTTCTTTCAAAGTTCAATTCAGGTGATTAGGCAGTCGTTTATAGTTTTTTTCTTCTTTTCTTTTTTCTTTTGTTATATGTTGTTATGACAACGGAGCACACTTCATTGCAACTTTATATTTTAACTGTTTTTTTATTTCTTGATTTTGTATTACATGGCCGATGATTGCTTTAGGCATGAAACTATTAGTACCATAAAAAGTTTTATTTTCTTTGTTTACATTTATATATATATATATATATATATATATATATATATATATATATATATATATATATATATATACATATATATATATACATATATATATATATATATATATATATATATATATATATATATATATATATACATATATATATATATATACATATATATATATATATATATATATATATATATATATATATATATATATATATATATATATATATATATATATATATATATACATATATAAAATGCTCATATATACATATATAAAATATATATATATATATATATATATATATATATATACTATATAAATATATATATATATATATATATATATATATATATATATATATATATATATATATATATATATAAACTATAAGTACCATAAAAAGTTTTATTTTCTTTGTTTACATTTATATATATATATATATATATATATATATATATATATATACATATATATATATATATACATATATATATATATATATATATATATATATATATATATTATATATATATATATACATATATATATATATATACATATATATATATATATATATATATATATATATATATATATATATATATATATATATATATATATATATATATATATATATATATATATATATATATATATATATATATATATATATATATATATATATATATATATATATACTTATTACACAGGGACTAAAAAGTTTCAGTATGTGTTTTTTTCCGTCCGGAAAAAAACACATACTGAAACTTTTTAGTCCCTGTGTAATAAGTATAAAACGCTCTGTTTTTGAAAAACTAAATATTTCTTAAATATTGAGCACTCTACAACGATCAAGAGTTTAGTATTTTTAATACTAAATCATACAACAACAATATATATATATATATATATATATATATATATATATATATATATATATATATATACATATATAAAATGCTCTATTAAATAAATAAATAATTTGTTTATTGAGCACTCTTATCCTTACAAGAGTTTTTTGTATTTTATTTACAAATACAAAAATACCATTTAATATATACATATATATATATATATATATATATATATATATATATATATATATATATATATATATATATATATATATATTTAGGTCAAATACACAAACATATTTGACATAAATGTTATATATATATACATATGTATACAACCTGTTGTATACATATGTATATATATATAACATTTTTTTTAGACAAAGGCTATTAGATGCTAACTTTAACTAAACACACCCCCTGCCTTGAGGCTTTTGGTTGAATAAAGGCTAGAGATTATGTCTCAATAAAAATACTCATCTTGTGCAGATGTTAAATGCATCCAGTGACTGTATTGTAGAAGGTCTCATAGATAAAGATTTAAGGGGTAAACAGATTCTATCTATTGACCAGCTTTGTACCCCTTCTTCATCTATTAGGCTGGCATAGATGTATTTATAATAAATTTCTTCCAGTTTAGTATGTATAATGCTGAATCTTCTTGACTCATATCATGGGTTTTGCTTGTGTCTCTATGGCTTGTGTTTTTATGACTAGAAAACGTATTCTATTATCTCCTAATGAGGGTACAGCTCTAAAACTCAGTTTTTTGGTTCTGAGGCCAGCTGGTTGTCAGGTTTCCTGAACTCTTTGGTAGCTCTCAGAGAGGCTGATTCCATTAACAGCTAAAAAAAATATCAAAGTATTAACAGAGCCATGTTGCGCATGGATGGTGTCCCTATTTGTACTTTTGGTGTGCATTGCCAAGGCCACATTTTGAGCTCTTTGTTACGGCTTAGGATTTAATAATAGTAATAAAATTGCTTGGGCTATTAAATAGTGTACTGAGTACTATCTATGCTTTCAGTCAAGTTCTTTAACAAATTTAAAAATGAATAAAGTACAAAAAACTATAAAACACAAAAAAACCATCATCATCACCAAGTTCTCTAAACCTATAATTCACTAATATTCTTGGTCTTCGAATTAACTTCTCTTCTGTTGAGTCTTATCTCTTGCAAAGTTTACCAGACCTACTTGCTCTTTGTGAGACTAATTTAAGTTCAGCTGTCTCATCTTATGATTTTAGTTTTGATGATTATCTTCTTTTAACTCAGAAAGCTTTCACTTCACTCTATTGCTTTTCTCTTTGTTCTATATTGCTCTCTTTCATCTCTTCAAGACTGCACTCTTTTTGATGTTATTTCTGATCAAATTGACCAAGCTTTATCCATTAGACAACATTGTTGTTGTTGATGACTTTAATGCTCATCACATTGAGTGGCTTGGCTCTAGTGCCAGTTACTCTGCAGGCGTTAAAGCCCACAACTTTTACCTTTCTCAATCCTTAACTCAAATAGTTAAGGATTGAGAAAGGTAAAAGTTATGTCAAATTTGTTATTTAATAGCCCAAGCAATTTTATTGAGTCAAAATAACTTTCGAATTTGCTTTCCTGACAACCCAAATCATTTACCTTCTCTACTTGACTTATGTCTTGTTTCTGATCCTAGTCAGTGCTCAGTTTCTTCACATTCATTCTTAGGTGCTTCTGATCACAGTTTTATTTCTAAAACTATTATCTCATTCTTTTTCATCATCTGAATCCCTCTATCGTACCTCTTGCATCTACCTTAAAGCTGACTAGGACTTTTTCCGTGATTTTCTTTGTGATGGCCTTTGGGTAGAAATCTTTCAAGTTTCTGCTAACAAATGTACTTCTTACATAAACCCCTCAGTTGATATCTAGATAGTTGATGTTTACACTCAGACCCCTCAGTTGATATCTAGATAGTAAGTGTTCACACTCAAACCTCTCAGTTGATATCTAGATAGTACGTGTTTACACTCAAACCCTCAGTTGAAATATAGATTGTAAGTGTTTACACACATATATATATATATATATATATATATATATATATATATATATATATATATATATATATATATATATATATATATATATATACAACTCTCAGAATTAGGATCGGCATTCGACAATGCCGACCTAACTGCCAAACTGAATGTGTTTGAGGTCGGCAAAAAATTGCCAACCACGTTTCTATGGTAAGACCTTTGTATCAAATACCTTTTGATGCCAAACTCAAAAAGATTAAGGTTGGCAAATTATTGTCGAGCTCATTTTTCCTAAGTCAGAGAGTTATATATATATATATATATATATATATATATATATATATATATATATATATATATATATATATATATATATATATATATATATATATATATATATATATAAACCCCCAATAGGGTGGTTTATATATATATATATAATATATATATATATATATATATATAAACCCCCAATAGGGTGGTTTATATATATATATATATATATATATATATATATATATATATATATATATATATATATATATATATATATATATATATATATATATATATATATATATATATATATATATATATATATAAACCCCCAATAGGGTGGTTTATATATATATATATATATATATATATATATATATATATATATATATATATATATATATATATATATATATATATATATATATATATATATATATAAACCCCCAATAGGGTGGTTTATATATATATATATATATATATATATATATATATATATATATATATATATATATATATATATATATATATATATATATATATATATATATATATATATAAACCACCCTATTGGGGGTTTATTTATTTTTACCTTTACTGAAAGGCAAAGTTGACTTCAGCTTTAACTTTGGTGCAGAAGTTGAAATAGAAATTCGGCTTTCAGTTAAATTCAAAAGCTATAAAATTTTTTTCAATTTATAAAGAAGAATTATTAAATATATTATGTTTTATGAATATCAACCTGTTTCTATTGGTTACAACCCTCTTTCAACTCTTTAACTCCAAAGAGTTAAGAGAGTCAAAGAGTTGAAAAAGGGTTGTAACCAATGTAAGAAGCAGCTTCCTTGATTTAAGTAGCCCACTCAGCCATGGGAAAATGAATAAAAATGGTAAAAAATGAAATAATAAAATCATTTTGGAAATGAATTTATCTTACAGAGTCAATATTCAAAAAGACTTTTTTAGGCACAATGTCTTTAAAAAACGAGTGAATATTTAACCTAATTTTCATAATGATCTTTTTCCTTTTTAAAATTTGACAATCAAAATTTTTAAATAAAGGTTGTAAATGCTTTTTATTCTGTTCAAAAACATTAAGAGTCCTAAAGAAACCATAAATTAAATTTTCATTATTACTGAATTTTTAGATATTTTGATGCAAATTGTTTTTTGTAAGCGTATATTTAAAAAAAAAATTAAAATTTAGTTGGCTTCACTTGTTCTATGTCATGTTTTAAATTATGGTATAAAAATGCTTAATTTAACCAGACCAGAAAAAGTTCAAAAACTTGAATAATGTTTTCTCTTTTTAAATGATAGGTTGCTTGCTAAAACTAAACCTTCAGTTAATGTAGCATGTAGCAACAGGCTATTATATAGTCAATATAGCAGTACTCTCTTATAGCAGCAAACAAGATAATTGGTATATCAATATTTCCTTGTAGCAGCAGGCTTTAAGATAGTTGATGTAGCAACACCACGCTTGTGTAATCATGTAGCAACTTGTACAGGAAAAAAGTAACACTCCTTGCATCTTTTACCTTTTTCCTCAGTCAATGTAGCAACACTCCTCATACTCCTTTTAAAAACATTATAAAACAATATTAATAAAAAATGCCATTGTAGTTTTTTTTAGAAAAGGATAAATCTTAATTTACTTAATGTACCAGTTTTTTTAAATTGTTTTATTTTTTAAACAACATTAAAATGTCAATTACTTATTGATAAATGTCTTTTAAATGTTAAAAAAAAGCATTGAAATAGACTTTTTTTTTTTTTACCATTAAAGTCTTTTTCAAGTACTATGTAAAGATATATATATATATATATATATATATATATATATATATATATATATATATATATATATAAAATAAAATGTGCGTGTTCCATAGCAGTAAATTTTAAAGCAGTCAATTTTTTTTTCATAATTTAAACAGATAAGTATTGAAGTAGATACATAAAAGTTTATTAAAAATATATTTTTATAATGAAGTTTATTAAAAATGTTTTAGTGGTTTAGAAAGTCATTGTATTTTCTGAACTATTAAAACTATTAAAAATAATATTTTCACTGAATTTAATTGCATAATATGATTTATTTTACTCTGGAAATAGAGCTGGCAGCTTCAATTTATTAATGGTCTAAAATTTTTTTTTTTTTTTAAGTAAAATCTCTAAATAGGATAGAAACAAATTATTTGCATAAACTTCGAGTAGGTGGAATTTTAGTTGCAATGCTATCATTTTGTAATATAAAAATAAGATACTCTACCATTAATATTATTGGTATTGCTTTTAAACAACAACTTCTAAAGATTGTTAATAAACATGTTTTTAAATATAAAATAAATGTTTATATTTTAAGGCAGTTTTGATAAATGATGCTATTGAAACTACTGGTTGTTTGAATAATGGTAGGGTGTTGTTTTCAGACTCCTAGAGTTGCACATCTAAATAAGACCATTTGCTTTTGATCTGGCCTTCTGAAATTGACTGAAATTACCTTGTACATTATAAATAGGAAAAACACATAGCATTAAATTTGAAGATATGCAAATAATTTCTCAACCCTTCAGTTGATATATAATGCGCAATAGCCACATATGGTTTAACTGAACTTACTAATGACCTAATATTGGCTTGGCTACTTTTGCTACAAGCAAATAAACTGATTTTCTGTAAATTAATTGCTCACCATTATCTTTCGTTGCAAAGATATAAGCTGATTTCAGTAAAAAACCTCTTTAATAATTGCACAGTAACGTAAGCAATGTAACATAAGTTATAGTGTCAGAGTAACATGTTTATTTTCCTGATGGAATTTTTATTTTTATTTTGTAATGAATATTGAATTCACAACATAATGTTAAAATTTTCAATGCAATTTACAATATTCAATTTGCAGAAATGTGATCTAAAAGTTTAAAAAATTTTTATTTGGCAAACAATTTCTGGCTGTGGCAAAAAATCAAAGCCATTTTTTCATTTAGACAATACAAAACTCAAAAACAGTAAATGCGGAACTCTAGAAAAAGGATTCCCACAATTTTATAATGGTTCTGCAAGGTTATGGCCTTATTTAGCTAGTTGATGCTATGATAAAGCAACAATAAATTTGTACCAAGAAAATGGTTTCGAAATCATACTTAAAAATTTATTTTAATTTTCAACTATTTTCACTTCCAACAAGGCTGCAAGCAACCACTATTAAAGTTGGTTACTATTATACAAGAAGAAAAAAGATGAAGTTTATAAAGCAAAATAACGATTAACAGATGACTTGAAAGATTGCAAATTATATGAATCTTTATGTTGCAAATTGTTTTTTAAACAAGGTGCTAAAAGGTATATTAAACATAGTTGGACCTGCTCTTGCAGCCAACCTTCAACAATTGTCACATCATTGTAATGTTGTTTCTCTTTCTCTTTTTTATAAATACTATAATGGGTGCTGCTCTAAAGAGCTAGCATCTTTTCTGCTATCTACTTAAATTCATTCTCAGGTTACTTGTCATTCAATAAAGTTTCATCCTTTTTTCTGTGACTGTTCCTAAGTGCTTCAAAAATTCTTATTTATCTAGTTTTTTTTTCTCAAACATCATCAACCTTTGGAATTTGCTTCCTTCATCTTGTTTTCCTGATTCATATAATTTGGAATCTTTTAAGTTGTATGTTATTTGTTATCTTGCTTTATAAACTTCATCTTTTTTTCCCAGTAACTTCCAACTCTAATAGTGGTTGCTTGCAGCCATTATTAGAGTTGAGTTATTAGAAAGTGAAGATAATAAATATATATATTTACAACCCTCGAAATTAGGAAAAATGAGGTTTGCAATAGTTCCCTGACCTCAATTATTTAGAGGTTGGCAAAAAAAGTTTGATACAAATGTCTTACCATAAAACATAGAATCAAGGTCGGCATTTTTTTGCCAATCTAAAACACTTTTAAGTTGGCAGTTAGGTTGGCATTGCTAAATGCTGACCCTAATTACGAGAGTTTATAATTCCACAAAAAAAATGTTAAACTTTTTAAGATGAGTTGAGTTTAAGGTTTCACAAAACTATTTAATTAAAGATGTTTTTTAGAGATGTATGAAATCAGCCCTCATGATGTTGAAATAGGGATGTTCGGAGGTTTAAAAGGTCGTGGTCAAAGAAAACAGGATGCAGCAATTGAACGTGATCTTTATCTCACTTTAGAAGAAGTATATCATGGTTGTATAAAAAAGATGAAAATAACAAGAAGGGTATTTTTTATTATTCATTATTTCAAATTGTACGTATAACGGGTATAACGGGTATAACAGGTAACGGTTAACTGTTTTTTAGTTGTTTACGCATTCTGAATGGAATAAATTATTTTTTCAAGATGGTCAAATAAGTCCTGAGTATTTCAAAAAATGATACTAATTACTGAAAACAGTTTTTTTAATAGGGCTAAAAGTTATGATTATATTTGCAAAAACGACTTTAGTAGAAAAATTAACGCAACCATTGTTTATCAGAATTTAATGTGACATTATTGTTAAACATACTCATTTATCATCTCGTAAGAGGCGTGCAATTGCACGCCTTATATGATCACGCATAAAGTTCTTTGTTTTAACAACTTGACCACGGCTCGTAGCAAGTTTTGATAGTTAACGCGTTTAAAAATGCCCTAAAAAAAACAAAGCAAATTAAAATTAAAATAAACAATCCATAAACTGAAAAGAGAATAAAATCCTTAAATAATATATAATACAAAAATTAGCCTAAAAAAATAAAATATTAAATGAATAATAAAATAAATAAAGGAAAAACCAGAAAAAAAAATCAAAGCATTAATTAATGTAAACTTAATTGTAAGTGAAAGTAAAAAAAAAATTATCACAGCTCTAATCTTTATTATTCCTTCCCTGAATAATTAGGCTTATACAAGGGCGAATCCATTGTGAAGGAAAGGGTCCCTCCTCCCCTCAGATTTTTTTTTTTTTTTTTAGAAATTGATGTTTAAAAATGTAAGTAACTTAGGTTGTTTAAAAGTGCCATGAAATTTGATAAAGTTTTGTGGTGCAAGTTTAAAATTTTTTAAAAATATTAAAAGGATACAGGGTGCGACAAATCAAAAAATTTGCGCGCATTTCTTAAAAGACAGACAGAAAAACAAACATCACATTTCTTTAATTTTGCTTATGCAAACATCGCCATTTGATTAGGATTTTTAAAACGAACATATTACTTCAGCAATTTTTTTCAAAATAATTTTGCAGTCATGAGTTTTTTATTTATTATAAAAAACACATTTAATATGAAAAACAATTAATTTCAGACTTAAATTAATGCCAAAATGTATTTTTTTCAATTGCGTCACTTTTAAGTAAAATTACTAAATACGGTATAGAAAAAAATATTTATGTTTTAGCATGGTTTTTGGCGCTCACAAAAGCATACATAATTTTAGTTAAAATGAATGCTTTTGCAAAAACTTCAAAAGAAACCATGCTCAAACATTTCGATTGCTATCTTTTATTGAGAAAAGCGGTCGTAATGTTTAACGATGGTTTCTTTTATGTTTTTAGCAATTACATTAAAAGTTTAAAGCAAATGTATTCATTATAAATAAAATTTAACAATAAATAAATTTTTTTTAAACTTTCTTATTTTCCATAAAGTGAAATGTTTGTTTACATATTAAAACTTTTGCACTTTTAAAAGTTTTTTTATTGTGCATTTATCATTAATTTCCACGCACTTTGCAAATGTGTAAAAAAAAGGTTTTAGAAAAATAAAAATTGAATAAATTTACCGAGCATCTTTGATATATTTTATAACTTATTAACTAGAATAAAAATTATTTGAATTTTATTTGACAAAAATCTCTTAAATTAGACGTTCGTCAATAAATAAAGATATGCAAGTCAACGTTCATTAAAAAAAAGGTTATGTCTCGCCCTGGGATAAAAAATAGTTGCCAGATGTGATTGTTTCAAGATTATTGTAATTCCTTTTTTTTTAGTAAATAATTTCTTAATTAGAAATTATATTTCCATGATAAAATGGTTTGTAATTATTTTTTGATAGCTTCTGTACTCATTTTGCCTTAAACCTTAAAGACAATCATTGAAAAATATTTTTTTCAATGATTGTCTTTAATTAAGTTGAATTAAAGTACTCAGGAAATTTTGTGGGAGTTTAATTGTAATTATGGAATCAATTAATTTAAAAATTACTTTATTTTTTAGCGCATTTTTTAAACACACTAATTATCAAAACTTGCAAAGAGCCGTGGTCAAGTTGTAAAAACAAAGAACTATATGCGTGGTCATTTAAAGCGTGCGATCGCACGCCTCTTACAAGAAGGCCTGGGTATTGAAAATAATGACTTCAATTTTTAGAAAAAAATGTTTTTTCATGGATAATTTTCCCAAATAATGTCTGATTATAAATGTCAAGTTACATTCATTGAAAATAAATATGTGCTTTTATGAAAAAATCAAATCCATAGACTTATCTATAGCCAAGCCCCAAGGTGCTTTAAATTGAAATTTACATCTTTTCTAAATAAAATTACGCTTGACAATTGTTATAGTTGCACTACTTTTACCAGATTATAATAGTGGTTAAAATAATTTTTCCATAAAAACCAAATATGTCATACTTTTTGATGAAAAAACTTACATATATTGTAATTAAAAAAACTTTTTTTTTCAAAGAAAATGCGTACCATGCCTTAGTTGAGGTTACAAATAACTTTTAATTGCTGATCTTTTTTAAAGTTTTTATTTTATGCAAAGGCTTTAAATAAAATCAAAAATTAATTATTATGATTGGTTAAAATAAATGCATTGTGTGTAAATTAAATGTTATATTAAATTTTTTTTTAGTAATAGGTATGTATTTTTTATGATAAATTTAAAAATTTGAAACTATTTTAAAAAAAATTTCAAATGTTTAAGTTTATCATAAAAAGTCTTTCTAAAAATCTTTTAAAGATTATTTTTTTAAGTTACTTTAAGTTATGAATAAGTTAAATTAATTCTTTCCATGGTTTAATTGCTTTTTTTTTTGTTTCTACTTTTACAAAGAATTAATTAAATTTTTTTTTAAAACTTGATTTACTAATTAAAGCATAAAATGATTAAAAATTACTATTTTAAAAAGACTAAGTTTTTTAAACAATGATTTTTTTACCAACTGTTTGAAATAATTGTTTATACAACTTAAAGATATTACATATTTTTTCTTTTCAATAATTTAGTTTCACTTTTCAATAATTTAAATAAAATTTGTTCATTTATCAAACAATCAATATGATTAATTTGTAAAAGCGTTTTAGGGGTCTTCCATAAAGTACGTACGCCAAAAATTCTAAAATTTGACACCCTCCCTCCCCCCTGTTGCCATGCGTACTTCCCCCTCAAAAAGTAAGTACGTTTTTCATATACCCTCTCCCCCCATTGAAAAAAAAAAAAGTGGAGGAGACGCCCTAGATACTTTAAAAGTATCTAAGGTACCTCCTCCACCTTTTTTATTTCAATAAATTTTTGTATTAAAAAACAATAAAAAATAGGCGGGGGTGAAAAATGTATAAGGTATTTATACGACTCCAAAGCCCTTTGTTAGCGACAAAGGTACCCAATTTAAAAAACATCATCAAATATATACAAATATAAATTTAAACAAAATTAAATCTTGTAATAGAGATCGCTTGGCTGAGTAGGTAATGTTATGGGCAGTGACGGGCAGAGAATCAAGTACAATTTCCAGTAAAGTCCTATTTTACTTTTTTTATTTAATGAGAGGCATCAAATAAAAATAAACTATATTTAAGGCAGACGTTTTTTTCAGGCACCCCTCTTTAGTAAGTCCGTAAAAAGCGAGTCACGCAAGAAGAGTAATATTGAAAACAAAGCTTAAAACCCAGTGCCCAGTGTAGGCTACCCATGCCCCGTAATTAGAGGGGTGGGGTGTTGTGGGGGAGCAGCAAAACCTAGCGGTAAAATTTGGAAGATTTTGAGACCCTAATGATACAGTTTTTTTTTGAGGGGAGGGGGTCTCCGACCTTTTAGCCATTGCACTGCTAAAACCTGTTTTTTGTTGACTCAAAAAAAAGGCAACTTATTTTTTGCACATGCATGCTCATATGCCACCCCTTATATACTGGCCCTGAGTATACTCAGGGCTAGTAAATAAGGGGTGGCATGGGCTGCAGGATTTTTTGATGTTCCAGATAGGACACTTTCACACATAGTGCAAACTCCAAACTTAAGTATGTCTATGCTTATGCCAAATGAGGAGACCTTGTAAAAAATTGGGATGGCGGAGACCTGTTAACAAATAGCCCTAAAACGCTTGCCTCCCGCTCAAACGTGAGGGCACTTATGTAGTAAAATTTTAACTTAATGATCTAAACCTAAGTTCAAATTTATCGACAGAGTTTAAATTTCGTTGAAAAATATTGTAAATTACACAAAATTATGTTGATGCAAATGTACAGCCCCTCATTTATTAGGAAAATTTTACTACATTAGTGCACTCACGTTTGGGGAGGGTAGGGGATGCAAGCATTTGATGGTTTTTTTGTTCCCAGACTACCGCCAAAACAACTTTTTGCAAGGCCTCTTCAAATGGCATTGGTATAAACATACTTAAGATTGGAGTTTGTACAATAGGTGGAAGTGGTTTATCTGGAACATCAAAAAATCCTGTGGGCGCCCATGCATGTGTGTGAATAGAGAGAAACTATACCTTTTACTCCCAATACAATACATCTTTTTATGTTGAAAAACTAAGATCTTTAGTGAGAATTTTAATTTTTCTATTGACTAGCTGGTTAATTGTGTAAAATTAGAAAATCGAAGTACGCACTTTTAAATTGAACCCTCTCCCCTATGAGCATACGTACTTTATGGAGGACCCCTTACATAAATTTAATAAAATGTTTCAAAAGATGAGTTTTAAGTAATTTATTTCAAACGCAATTTAAAACGTATTAAAAAGTAGTTTTAACTTCAAGTTTTCTGAGTTTTATTTTAAAGCTTTTAATTTATTTTTAATTTACTTTACTTTTAATTATATTATATATATATATATATATATATATATATATATATATATATATATATATTTTACTTTGTAAATTGGACAATCTGTGGTTTTAAACAGACAATGTCTGATGTCTGACCGTTAAATTGAGCCCTGTAGAAAAATTGAGATAGATAGATACACATTTTTAAAATTTCTAGAATTTTTCCTGCAAATTAAAACCATTGATTTTTTGACAGGTAATGAATGAGGATGGTCATTCATCAAGTATTCGTGAAAAAATCTTAACCATAAATGTAAAACCCGGTTGGAGAGCAGGGACTAAAATAATATTTTCAAAAGAAGGTGATCAAGGTCCAAACAATATTCCAGGTAAATAATAAGTTAAAATTTTTATACAGGATGAATTATTTAATGCAAAAAGTACTGCTATCAATGTCTTGTTTAGATATCAAAAAATACTAGCAAAATACTAATTTATTTGCAATTTATAAATTTGTTGCTATAAAGAGGTGCACTAAATTTGTTTTATTTTTTATAGTTTTAATTTTATTATTTCAATATATGTGTTTTAGTAAATAGAAACCTGTGTGTATTAGTAAATTAACCTCTAGATAATATTAATAAACAAAACATTAATTTATAACATAGCTGGTGATGTATGAGTTATAATGAAAAGAAAGAAAATATTAATTCCAAAAGCTTTAAGAAATTGATTTCAGTTTATGAAATATTTTTTTAACATAAAAATAAAGAAAAAGAAAAATACAGCAATCAAACATTGCTGCAGTTGAAAAAGTATAAAAATATACTTCCCTATTTTAAATAGTAAAAAAAAAAAAAAGAAGTACTTTGAGTTGAACTAAAGTGGAGAATGGGGTAAAATCAATAAATTGTGTTTTACTTTATTATGGTAAGTACATAATACATAATAGTAAACAGTACATAATAAGCTTTTTGAATGTGTTTTCCGGCTCAGTATAGTTTTTGAATTCTGTTTTGCATTATCATGTACCTACAAAGATTTTTATAAATTGTATTTTATATTTTTTAGTGTTACTTTACAATATGTGCAACAACAATGATATTTGGGCACAAACAAAACACCTAACTTTAAAGCCATTAAACAATTATATCATTGACATGCAACACAAACACAACCTTCTTTTAGAGTCTGCCTCAGGAAGCTTATCAGTTGCACAGAGTAGTTCTTAAAATTTTCAGCCAATTTTAAAGAATATCTACTTAAGGTTAACAGCTGTAGATAAAATGCCATTTTTAACTTTAGTAAATAGTGAAGAAATTTAGGAGAAATGGGGAATGGAAAGCTCAAGGTTTTAAAATGTCATTAATAAGACAAAAAATTAAAAGTATGCTTAAGTGTAATGGGCGAGCGTTCCAGTGACACACAATTCAATTTGTAAAAACCTGCGATTGCATTACAGCAATCGCAGGTTTTTACAAATTGAATTGTGTGTACATGGAAGCATATAATAAGCTCCATATGACACTTATTATATACGGCACCCAACTATGGAATGATTTTTTTAGCCTAATACGTAAGATTGGCTGTTAAGGCTGTTGTTTTACTTTTTAATTTTATGTTGTCTAAGACCATGATGCAAAGGACCTCTTTTGATATTGAGAACTGCTAGTTTTGTTTGAGATCTGTCATTTGCACATTAGATATTGTTGTGTTAATCTTTTGGTTCTGCAGCTTATGTGCATTACCTTGCATTTTGCCTTCGTCTATTTCATCTTGTAAGATTGACAAGTCTTCTTCAGATTTGATGATGCCTATGATTTTTCTATCACCCATAAAAGAATAACCAATCCTTGCAGAACTTCATTTGAGACAAAGTTCCAGTTTGATATATGCCCATTCATGACTACCTGTTGTTGGCGATTTGATAGCCACGCTTTGATTCATGTCAATAATGCACCACATATATTGAAAGCTCTCAGTTTGTGTAGCAAGCAATTATGAGGTGTATTATTATTTTAAAAAATGGGTATATTAAGTGTATCAAAATGGTACAAACAAAGTGGTGCAAACAAAGTTGTACAAATATGGACTTACTTTAGACATTTTATCACAAAAAAATCTCAATGTTTAAATGCAACAAAGTATTTAGAATATTTATTTTTCTATACAATCATCAGATGAAAAATAAGTATATAATCAAAATACATTAAAAAAAAAAAAAAAATTCAAATATAAATAGTAGTAGCAGAATGATAATAAATAATGATATACAATAATGATAAAAAATGATAAACAGTTAAAATAATAATAATTAAAGTGGAAATGACTATAAATGATAGTGTCACTCAAATAATAATGATTAAGGAGGAAATGAAAAATGATAGCATCATTCAAACAATAATAATTAAGGATGACAAATGATAGCGTCACTCAAATAATAATAATTATCACATAATAATAATCTGATCCAAGCAATGACACCTGAAAAAAATATAACAATTAAGTTTAATAAGCCAATAAAAATAATAGTAATTATAATAATTGATCGATCGATTAAATAAAAACCTGATAAAAAGAGTAATACCAAACACTTATTTATAATAAAATAAAAACAAAATAAATCACTCTTGAACCACGCAACATTACAATTAACAGGTAAAACAAGTAATATTATGAGAGCAAAAGTGATAACATATTTGAAAGTTGTAAACACTAAAACTGAAATGAAGCCATGAGAACAAAAGTGGTGTAACCCACAAATTTACAAAATGTTTTTTTTTTTTTTGTTCAACGTACCTCTATAAAAAACTTTAATAAATGTCTCAATAGATTGTTAAAACTGAAAAGAAAAGAAAATATGAATTCAAAAACAAGTGAGAGAATTCAATTAAAAAACTATGGAATTTAATTTTTACTATTTTCTCCATTGTTTTAATATGTTGCTTACACCACTTTTGTTCTCATTGCCTCAAATGTTCTTATTTTTTATTTTTAGACCATGTTGTTATGGATATAACTTTTATTTAACTAGATTTTATACTAAATATTTATATATTATATATTAATATATTGCGCTTAATAAACTAATATATATAGTTTTAAGCTTTTGTTTTCTTAAGTTTAACGTTTGAAAACAATGTTTAAATGAATATATTTGTGTACCAATCATTATTAATGTCCAGAGAGAATTGTACCCATCATTAATAATGTCTAATAGGAATTATACTAATCATTATCAATATCCAAAGGTAATTAGTGCGTGTTGCAAAAACAAAAAACACCAGGTTCACCAACTTCAACACCAGATTCTTAAACTTTAAATTAGATTTAAATTTTTTTTAAAATTATGGTGAAAAGTGTGGTTAATAATGGTTAATGTTTTCTGATTCTACTTAATGCGTATTTCGTTATTTTTGCAAATTGTTTTCAAGCAATTAACAGGTTATGCATAAGTCTTCGAACTTTTTTTGAAACTGATTTAAATAAGGAGAGTAATTTTTCAACCTTCAACTTATTGTTTATTTTGAAGATCAAACATTAATGTATTTAAATCACTTTTAATTTTTATCTAGACTTCTATACAAAAAAAATGACAGGTTTGATCGAGAAGCCCTCGCAAGACGAATTGTAATGTTCTTTGAAAATCCTTTTAAGTGATAAAAAGAAATTAACATATAAACATTTTAAAAATGAAGGAATACCAAAGTCAACTATATTTAGTATTCTTGCAAGGTATGAGAAGTATGGTGTGTATAATGATTCGGTTAGATCAGGTTGTCCTCCAAAAATGGATAGGAAAAAAGTCAAACGATTGACTAAAATGCTAAATAGTTCAACTGGTATTAGTCAAAAGTATTTAGCTTTATATTTTAAGGTGAACCAAAGCACAATTTCAAGAACTATTAATTTCAAAACAGATATTAAATACTACAAAAAACAAAAAGCACCTTTGTATGAAAAAGATCAACAACAGAGAGCAGCAACATCATCGAGAAGATTAGTTAATAAAGTATTCCATGAAAAAGATATAATCATGGATGACGAAAAATATTTTAACCTATCAAACTCAAATATACCTGGAAATGATATATATTATACAAATAATAAATTGTTAGCCCCTGATAATGTAAAATATAAGTTGAAAAAAAAAATTCCAAGAAAAGTTATTGGTTTGGATTTGCATTTCTTCAAATGGATTATGTGAACCTTATATACATAGATCAAAGAATTCAATAACATTCAATATATATGTGAAAGAATGTATGAAGAAAAGACTTATACCATTTGTTAGAGAATATCATAAAGATAATAATTTTGTTTTGGCCAGATCTTGCAACTGCTCATTATGCTAATAAAACAGAAAATTGGTTTATTGATAATTCCATAAAATTTGTACAAAAAAGCACTAATCCACCAAATGTTCCACAGGCTAGACCAATTGAAACATTTTGGGCTATTTTAAGTCAGATGGTGGTATACAGTGATGGTTGGAGAGCACGTAGCATATATCAACTAGTTCGAAGAATAAAGAGCAAATTCAATGAAATAAAAGAAAATGATCCAGATCTGTTATAAAGACTAATGATGAGTGTTAAAACAAAACTTAGAAAAATCGCTGATAGAGGCGTCTATTGAATATGTTAAATATATTAATAAATACTAGAATGAATGTTCTTTATTACCATATAGTTTCATTTTTTTATCTAACTAACAATATTTTTTTACAACTCTATAAACAAAGTTCAAAGACTTATGCATGACCTGTTATAACAATATATGTTTGTAACTTAAATAACAATATATGTTTGTAACTTAAATAACAATATATGTTTGTAACTTAAACAACAATATATGTTTGTAACTTAAATAACAATATATGTTTGTAACTTAAATAACAATATATGTTTGTAACTTAAATAACAATATATGTTTGTAACTTAAATAACAATATATGTTTGTAACTTAAACAACAATATATGTTTGTAACTTAAACATCTAAACAATGTATGTATTAGGTCTAGAAGTTAATTTCAACACTTTTTTCTCTTTTTAAACTACGTGAAACTAAAAATAATACTTTAATTTAAAATAATTTCCTTTATTAATAACAACATTTCTCCAAAGTTTGGGCATTTTTTGGATTCCAACATAATAAAATTTTCTGGTTTGGCTGTCATACATTCATAAAGCCATTTTTTGACGTCTGAGCTGTTGACTGGAAAAGGTGATAATCAGACAGGGCGATGTTCAGAGAGTACAATGGGTTCAGTAAGACTTCTCATTTCAACTCTTTTAGCGTGTCTTTTATGCGGCCTTGCATTATCATTAACCAGTATGAGTTTTTTTGATCCGCCCATTCTGGTCTCTTTACTGCAAGTTCATGACA